GTAGGATTGCCCAACCTTCCTTCCGAGGAGTGGCTGGTGGGTTTGAACCGCCAGCCGTCTGGTTAGCAGGCAAGTGTCTTAGCCACTATGCTACCAGAGATAATAGGGGGAAAAAGAAGAGAAAAGAAAACCTTCATTTTCATCCTAGTCCCAACACAAAATGGCTTTGATTCAACATTTACTGAGGCACCAGCGTAAAACAGCAGCGTTAACTCTATTCTACTCCTAATCTTCATCCTAGCCATCCATGTGTTAATTTTATTGTCTCCTTGGCCTCGTTCTTAAATTGTATCCCAACCTTAATGTAGAGTTCCCTTTTTATACTTAGTAAGATAATCATAGTCCTATATGGAACGCTGACTTTAATTCCATTTTTCAAGTCATTTATGTAACACCTTTTTCTCGTGACTACTTTCTGTCCTCTTTCTCTCACTAAACCTAGAAATCTCTACTCCTTCCTCCACTTCCCTTTGCCCCACAGCCCTAGTGTTTGTGTAAAGCAAAATCACTTCTAGACAGGCTCTAGAGGAAATACAACATAGGAGAATTAAATGAAGCAGTCAAAAGAATCTTTTTTAATAAAACCTACTTTGTTGAATAAATGCTTTAACATAGCCCTAGGACTAACAGCTCTTGTTCTAAATTTACTCAGTTTCCATGTGGACAGTTATCTATTGGACACTGTAGGGAAAAATCTAAGAAATTTATTCAACCACAATCCTCAAAGTGTTCAATGAAGCTCTGGATGGTCAGAGACATAGTTCTAGTATAAGTCACAGTTACACAAATGAATTTGATGTAAATAAGGGGCCAAAGGCATACAGAATAAAAGAATAAAGTGTCTGAGTGCTGAGGGCAGGGGAAATCAGAGAAGTCTTCCTAGAGGTGGGAGCCACAGCAAGCAGAATGAAATTAATATGAAATATTTGCTGATTTACTGTGTGAGAGGGCTAAAAGCAGGAACAAGCGTGTTATGCTTTGTAATAGGCAGATGTGAGGGAAGGAGTTAAACCAAGGAGCAAACTTATGAAGATGGAAGGTATAGATTATTTTTTAAATATATGGAAGCTACTGAATTGATTACAACTGAAAAGGGGATCCCCTACAGAGGATTCAGACCTACTCAACGTAGGTCCCTTGAGGGTGGGCTCTTATCCATACTAGAACAACAATTGAGTTGGAAGTATTTAAAGGAATCTAGGAGCTCTGGTAGCATAGTGCCTAAGGCACTTAACTGCTAACCAGAAGACTGGCGGTTCAAACCCACCAGCCACTCCTCAGAAGGAAGGTTGGGCAATCTACTTCCGTAGTGATACTGCCTCGGAAACCCAAGGAGGGCTCGTTATGAGCCGGGACCAACTTGATGGCACATAACAACAACAACATTCAGGAATCTCAGGGTTTTAGTTGTCTACTCAAGCATGGTTCCCAGTTTAGTCAGGGCTCACTGAATCAGGAATAGACACCAATGCACAGCATCCAGCTCCTCTTGCACCCTTCCAGACCCCGATGAAGTCAGCCTTCCTGGATGCCCGACCAGATTAATTCCCCCTCCACACACGCTCTCCGTCCACGCAGCATGCTGCATGATTGTTATTTCTGCACATATCTGTCTCCCCCGCTCCAAAGGATGAGGCTACTGCCTCCTAGGTTTCAAAGAGCTGGATATTCACCAACTCAGTTCTGAAGTATGAGGGTGCCATTAAGTTGTGCCAGATGGATGTGGCTCCTGCCCAAAGCTGAGGAGGTGGAGCTACTATGCCCAAGGGGCAGAAGAATAGGTCCTACCAGGGCCAATGGGATACAGCCATAACTCAGATGGACTAGAAGAATGGAGCCTCCAAAGCTGAGGGAAGAGAGTTTCCATCTAAGAGGGCTTAGAAGGCAGAGCTGAAGCTCAGAGCCAAGTGGACTCCACCCAGAACCCAGAGGGCATGGCAAGCTTCCAG